AAATCAAATCAATTTATTCGTTATTGATGATCCCATTGGGACAACGTGAAGACACGGGAGTTGCATAACAATTATCAAACTGTCAAAGGTGTAATTGACATAGTTACGTAAAACCAAGCCGGGAGAATTTGTGATAAATCTTCCCAATCTTGTGATCACATTAAAAAAAAAAAGATACAGTAGACTGGAACTGGAGATGCAGATGCAGATGCAGATGCAGATGCTTATTAGTTTTTCCAAGATAAGAGTTAGAGTTGAGCCTTTTGCTGAACAGACTTTGTACCTCATTGGTCAAAAACTGTCGGCTCTGGAGAAAGTTTTGCCGTTTTCCCTTCCCCCCCTCCCTTTTTTTTTTTTTGTTATTTTTATTTTTATAAGATGACTTCCAGACCCATCTAGGCATTTGTATATTTATAATGTTATATTTGTTAAAAATATAAGAGTTAGTAGGTTCTGTCTAGTCGAGTCAACTTCTTGTATCCTTAAACTCTATTCATTTCAACTCGAAAATAAACCACATCTCACATCTTTATATCTCAGTTGAGACCAAATCACTTGACCTGTTGTTTCATTCTCTCTCACACACATCCTAGGTCAAATTGCAATATTCATTGAGTACCTTCTCCATCAACCACTCCCCTTGGCTCTTGGTATGAAGAGATACTTGAACAAATCAAATCAATGTTGCAGCTTTCAGAATGTGTAGACTCTGATAGCTCTTGGAGGGAGGAAACTCGAGTCAGAAAGAGTGAGAGTGGAATCAAAGTCCATAATCTTTTTTTTTTTTTTTTTTTTTTTTTCTTTCCTTTTCTCTATCTCGTCATGCCTGTAAACAATATTATTTCCCCATGTGGATGATATTCACTACCTTACTGACATTGTAAATCGAATCTGAAGAACGCTTTGCAGTAGAGTTGAGGATCCAGATGTGCTTTTGTTTAATGATCTCTATTTTGTCGTCATCCCACTCTAATTTTTCCTTGATTCCATCAAGTTCATAGCCCAAAGCGCAACATTTTAGATGACTGATTTTGCCCTTTCCCTTTCATTGGGAGAGGGCTCGAGCCAAATAATTAAAGTTTTGGAATTGAAATATTGAAGGGAAGGCCTTTTTTTTTTTTTTTTTTTTTTTATTTTTTTCTATGGTACGTGTACAAAAGTGACGAATGGCCTACTGGATTAGTTACTAGGACGGCTCTCCATCGCCAAGGCTTAAGGAGTAAAAGTGAACAATCGTAGGAGGATGCCAGATGAGGACAATAATCATGATCAGCATAAAGCTCGATGTGAGCGGGTGGGAAAAAAAAAAAAAAAAGGTATTTATGCCGAGTCAGTACTTCAGACTGTAGGCTAATGAGAGAGCTACATTGGTATGAAAACAGATATTGCTCCTAGAATCGGAAACGGACAACTCCTTTCTTTGATTTCTTTTTTATTTTCTTGGCAATGCTTAAAATGTGTGCACGTGAACAGCATTTTTTTTTTTTTTTTTTTTTTTTTTTTTTAATTGCTTTCGAGCAAGATTTCATTGGTCGGTTTTTCTTTAGAACCATTGAGAATTAGAGGGTCAGAGAGAATGAAGCGATCACTTAATATCATTTAGCACCAGTACACAAGCTGGTGCCAGCTATGATTGTTGACTTTCTGACTCAAGTCTTAAAATCTGTGCATGACGATGGAATACGACTGACTAGTGTCCATGTTTGTTGCTTTTTAGTCCAAGGACATTCTGTCTAGTACTTTTCCTTCCACGTCTTGCGACTATGGACTAGAGAAGGATAAATGTCATGCTTTCGACAGAACTGGTGCCCTCCTATAAGCCAAGAAGAAAGGGAAATTGTAATCCAAAGGATCCCAGAGTCTCATCAAGTTCCCAGTCGTCATCATTATGATGATCATGATGACTGTTTCGCACCTGCCTTGGTCCTTGATAATTTTTGTTCATTATGTTGTTTTATGCAAAGCTTGGGTCGCGTGAGGTTTTTGGATTCAAACTTGGTCCCAAACTGTCAAATTGTCGCGAATGACGTTAATTTTTTTTTATTTTTTTTTTACCCACGTTGTTTTTATGTCTACTTTTACATTTGCCCTTTCTTTCATTCATCATTCATCATTGAATTATAAAAACACAAACAAACAAAATAAGAATAAAAATAAAGTAAAAAAGAAAAAAGTAAAAGCAAAAAAAAAAAAAGCAAGCACCAACACCATCATGCCTACTCGAAACGCTTACATTGGAACCATTGCCCTCTTTGTGGTCACATTTGCTTTCCAACTTACATCATTGTTTGACCCCAAGTGGTAAGCATGCATTCTCGAAATAATAATGATAATAATAATAATAAAACTTGTTTTTCTTGAAGGGTAACAATGTAAGCAGTACGGAATCGCTTGGCAGAATTAATATGAGTAATAATAACTAAAAAAAAAAAAAAAAAAAAAAAAAAACCATGTCTGTATGAATGGACAAATATAATATGAACAATAATAATAAATAGGGTGCGGTATACGAGTCCCGAACCTTTCTACACAGAGACCAACTATGGTCTCTTCCAGAAATGCTCAAGCTTAACGGATGATTGTCGTCGGTTCCCTCAAAAGTCTTGGGGAGATTGTGATCAGGACAAGGGCTCGGGTCGGTGGGTCAAGCTCTGTGGAGAATGGCGCGTCGCAGCGGGCCTCAATGTTGCAGCTGCCATCTTTGGACTGGTGATCCTGTTTGCATTGGGCACTGTGTTGTATTCGGGTGAGAGATGGCATGCCAACGGATGGAAGCATGTCCTTGGCCTCATGGGCATCTTTGGTGAGTGGGATAATAAGACCTGTAAAAAAAAAAAAAAAAAGCAAAGCGAAACTGGTTCTTTTTTTAATCCAACAAGTTGTTAATATTGTTGAAATACCTCTTCTTTCCAAAAAAAAAAAAAAAAAAAAAAAAAAAAAAATTCTAGCTGGACTCCAAGTCATGTCGATGGGATTGATTGCGCATGTGGCACAGACCTCATCAATGTTTGTCCATCATCATTACGGCCTCTCATTTGTCTTGTCAAATGTCTCTTGGGTTTTTGCAACTGCCCTTGCGATCGGCGTCATGCTCTATGCCAAATATGCTGCTCAGGGTCGCATTGCCTTGGAATAAAGTTGGATAGCAATCGACAGAACGGAGAAATCAATGTCTCTCAGAAGGGTTGATGATCTTTAAAGGGTTCTTCTAGGATTAGGTGTTCTTTTTTTCCATGTCTCCAACTTGTACATAGTTATCAGAATACACAGAATAAAACGAAATAAAAGGTAAAAGAGACATGAATATGATCTTGATACATTATATATAAATTGGTGCCAAGATTTTGCAGATTTGTCTCAATACTCTCTTACTCACCTTAAGCCTAACGAGGAATGAAGCATATACTTCTGAGGCCATGGCAATAGTTCTTGGCTTTAACGGGTGATATGGTATTTCCCTTCCTATCCTCCAGTCTCAGCGTGTCAGCGGACCAAAATATTGGCATTCACGGTATGTAACATTGGCAATAAGGTATTCCAAGAGATCAAAGACAGACGCTGACATTGCTTGCTCGAGGAGCCATACTTTTTTTTCTTTTCTTTTTTTTTCTTTTTTTTTTTTTTTTTTTTTATGTAGTAGCAGTAGTAGAATAAAAAGTAATGATGTAGCTTCTGTAGCTATCCGTGTTTCTCCAATAGGTCATCAAGTTACTCCGCGCTGTAAAAGTGTTAATCTTTATACTTTTACTGCAAAGGGGAGGTATTTTTTTTTTTTCCTTATTGACAATATGTGGCAATAGAGCCTAGAAAAGTTAGTGGATATTTTTTTAATATTAATTTGGTAAGGCGCGCACATATTCTGTTTAGACATATTTGGACATCATTAAGTATCGATTTGTCTTAGATTGTTGAAAACTATGATGAAGCCAAGACTAATATCGTCATCAACATCATCAACCTCGTCACCTCTTTAATGTCACCAAAGAAGATAGGATTCGTGCCACAATCGAATGAAGCACAAGATGTCACAGCAGGATGGAAATAAAGGGATTATATTGGAACAATATGGCGACATGGTATGGAATGAAGGCATTGGTCCAGTACGCGGCAGAAGAGGTAGGGATCCATGTAGAGTAGACATGGGTTCCCTTGATAATGTATATATAAATGTATAAATATATATATCAGCATATACCCACCAGATGGACATTTGAGAGTTTTAACTTTAATTTGCTGACGTAGGCTCAGCTGTAAAGAATCGACTGATTCCTTCTTTTTTCCGTGTCTTGGCTGGTTGGTCAGTTTGAATTGATTTATTTTGGCAAAAGAGGGAAATAAGTGGAAAGAGAAAAAGGCCTCTGGGGCATCCCTCTTTACTCTCTCTCTCTCTCTCTCTCTCTCTCTCTCTCTCTCTCTCTCTCTCTCTCTCTCTCTCTCTCTCTCTCTCTCTCTCTCTCTCTCTCTCTCTCTCTCTCTCTCTCTCTTGTCTTCATCACAAATTCATTCATTCATTCAACCAATCAAGGGCTGTCTAGTCTCCATCACCAACACACACACACACACTCTCTCTCTCTTCCCTTTTCCTATCCCTATCTCTCCTTCCCTTACTCTCTTTTACTCTTTTACTCTTATTCTTCCTCACTCTTGACTCTCTTTTCCATTCAACAACCTTGACAAACCGTTGCACACTCTCCTGACTTTTTATTTTTGCCCCAATTGACTTTTTAATTCCCTCTTCCCTTTATACTCTCAATTACACTTACACTTACACTTACACTTTTAATCTGCCAACCCTCCATCTTCTTCACCATGTCCAGGGCTCATTCTTATGCTCAGGTGAGTGGGAAATCCTTTTTTTTTTTTTTTTTTTTTTTTCTTATTCTCTTTCCAACATTGCCATGAACTCTATCAGTCTCGCAAAGAAAAATACCCACTCTTGCTTTCTTAGTGTATAGTATGCTTATCCCGTCTTTTTTAATTTTTTTTTTAATTACTCTTATATAGATTCCACTCATGGAAACATCTGCGACGGAGGCCAGAGACCATGATACCCACAATAACGATAACGATAATGACACCAATCATCGCCGAAACCTGGCCATTGCCCGCAGTCAAAAAAGCTCCCGGAACAGCAACAGAAATAATGACCACCGTGGATATGCCACGTTGCGCAATACTGAAGATGATGGCGATGAGGACGACGAACTTGAGAACGCTGGTGAAAACAGTGTCATGCTTCGACCTATGGCCTCGTCTTCTTCAACCACTCCTGCCCCTACTGCTGCATCTGGCTCTAGTTCCAGTTCGGGCTCTGCTCCCCGACGCCATGTATACTCCACAAATTCTAATAGTGACGACGAAGACGACCACGACCAGGACAATGAAATTTCCATAGCCCCCCCTGCAGAAACATCTTCATCTAATATCAGAGGCTCCACAGCCACATCAACTACAAAGAGATCAGGCGCTCGTACAACCAATATGTCCTTCCTCGCACGTCTGACCGGTCGACAACGTCCAGAAAGGGATGCCCAAAGGATGGTTCGCTCTGCCGTAGATGGTGTCTTTTCCAACTTATCAGCCAAGCCACGGGTGGAAAAACCTTATGAAGAAGAACTACCTCCAGTATGTATTTTATACAACCGCAATGTTTTTTTTAGGGGGGATTTTTTTGAGTTTGATTATACCTCCATGGATGTAAAGAAAAAGACAAACTGTACTCATTAATCGTTGTTATTATTATCATCGTTACATCTCAATAAACAATAATAGGCATACAAGACTGCAGCTTTGGACGTATCTCCGGCATATCATGAGACAAATCTCCCTCCTGGATTTACAGACGAAGATGATATGTTACTCGTGGAGGGTTTACCTGTTGGCGGACTGTTAGGTTTCATGTGGAATATGATTAGTAAGTTCATCATTCTTTTATCTCTCTTCAAATCTTTTTTTTTTTTTTTTTTTTTTTTTTTCTCCTCCCTCTAGAAAAAGATCCTGTGGATCAGAGTAATTTTTAACCCCTCTCCTCCTTTCTTCCCTTCACATCCTGTAGTTTCAGTCAGTTTCCAATTTGTTGGTTTTTTCTTGACATACCTCCTACACACTTCGCATGCAACCAAGGAAGGATCCAAGACAGGACTTGGAATTACTCTTGTCTCAATGGGCTACAAAATGATGACCGGACGTTTCCCAGATGGCTCTGATGACGATGTGGATCCATCCGAAGATTCCGATACAGGATACATGGGCAACCCTGGAAATTCAGGATATTACAGCCCAAGTTCATTGAGGAGAGTGACCGATTATGAATGGCTATCATATATTCTGTTGATGTTGGGAATGGCTATCCTAGTCCAGTCAGTCTCTTCCTTCACAAGAGTCAAGCTATCAGAGATCAGGATCCAGTTGGCAGCACATTCTGCAACACATGCTGAAGCCACCGTCTCAGGAAGTGCTGCTGCTGGAGCTTCATCATCATCAACATCAACGTCAGGAGAAGGACGATCGGGTACGGTCGTTATCACAATAGTCTAGTCCTAGGCGAGAGCGATAGTAATTCGATACGGTGCCATTTTTTTTTTTTTTTTTTTTTTTGCTCTATCGGCCCCTGTCCCTCCTCTGCTTGAGTCATGATGTCCATTATTAAAATAATAAAAATAAAAATACAATAATAATAATAATAACAATAACAATTGCTATTTGTCAATGAGCAAAGTCATATTTGATGGATGATACAGTTAATAAAAAAAAAAATAAAGACAGGAAGACAGAAATAATCCCTCTTAATATTACTAATTTTTAACTAAAAAAGCGAGGGATCATGTCTTCGGAGTCCTTTATTGAAACATTGCATTCAGATTTCCACTCCTGCGTGGTTTCTTTGCATTGGTCTTTTCACCGTTGATCGAGGGGGCATTGGATCGCCTCTTCTTACCCGCAATCTTCACAACGGGCTTTTCCTCTTCGCTACTGCTGCTATCCGAATCCGAGGACGAATCCGAGGACGAATCTGAGGACGAATCTGAGGACGAGGACGAGTCAGTGTTGTCCTCTTCATCACCAACATTGAGAGATTTCCCTGCTCTCACTTTTTGCATAAGCAGAGCTGCCTCTTTGATCCCCCCATTAGGTTTCCGAACCGAGGCAACGGGTACAGTGGGCGAACCTAAAGCAGATCCAATAGAACTCTTGGCCTGTGCCTGTGCTTTGGCCTGTGCTGCAAGGAATGATAGAGTTTGAAGTCGAGACATCCCATTCATAGACTGGAGATCTGTCAAGGACGCGAGGCCACCATTTTGAAGTATGGAGGAGCCCATTACAGGGCGTGATGGTGTAAAGACACTCCTATCACCATTGTTGTTGTCGTTGTTGTCGCTGTTGTCGTTCTCGTTACTGCCGGTTCTATTAATGTTGCCGGTGTTGTTTTTCAAACTGAAGACATTACCAAGGACACCACTTGCCTTCTTCTGCTTCGCCATCTCTTCTCTCATCCTTACTTTCTTCACTATCCTCTCTTCTTCATCCTCATCCTCTTCTTCTTCCTCCTCCCCCTGCTCTTCCCCCACCTCATTCCCCTCATTTTCTTCATAGTCATCATCGCTGTCAGTAACCGAATCCAAGTCCGGGTCAGATGAATCGGATGAATCGGATGAATCTGATGAATCCGATGAATCTGATGAATCCGATGAATCCGATGAATCTGACGAATCCGATGAATCCGATGAATCTGACGAATCCGATGAATCCGATGAATCCGAGTCTGAGCTGGTTGAATCATCGTCTGGTTCGTTTTCGCCTTCGCCTCCATTTTCGCTTTCAATCTTTTCAATCTCCTTTTTGATGGACTCGAGACTCTTGTGTTTAAGCGCAGGCTTTTTCTTTATAGGCTGAAGTTTCTCCTCATCTCTGTCCCTTACGTCCTTTCCATTGGGCAGTCCCGTACCTGGCTTCAGGTTAGAGTCTTCTGTCTTGATTTTCTTTGACCGAGTAGCGCTAACAGTAGGTACCACTGAGGGTTTTGAGTCGGTGACAGGAGCAGTGACAGAAGCAGTGACAGAAGTAGAGACAGGGGTAGAGGCTGGAACAGGGGCTGGAGCAGAGACTGGAGCAGAGACTGGAGCAGAGACTGAAGCAGAGACTGGCGTAGAAACAGGAGCAGAGACAGAAGTCAATGATTGCTTCAGCTTTGAAGACGGAGGTAAATGTGGAACATCGATAAATGGAGTTGTTGTCTTTGCTGTTGAGGCAGTCTTGACAGGAGCTGAAGATCCTTGATTTGCCTTTGGTGATTTTGGGGACGACGTTGTCGTTTTTGGTCCCGCTTTCGATGGTCTGGACAGGCCAACAACAGGCGGTGCCTCCAATGCAACGCTCTGATTGGCTTCGCCCGAACCTTCCTCTTCAGAACTTGAGTCATCCATACTGGGCCTGTTAATGAATCTCTGTTGTGGAACATTGGTGATAACTGGATGATGAAGGGCTCCATGATAGTCATCATCTGCATCAACTTTAGCATTAGCATTAGTATTTGCTGTGTCAGTGTCGGTAGTTGTGGTAGTTGTTTTAGTTGCTTTAGATGTTGCGGCAGAGTTGATGGACTGACTTTGTGCCTGCTGTTGGTTCTTTTGGTCAAAGAAGGCAAAAACCTCTTCTTGGTCCGGATATGTTTCTGCTTCCACTGGCTCTTTGACAGTCAATGGGGGTGCTGTTGGCTTCGACAGGGAAGCTGATGGTGCAGATAGGGAAGTTGATGGTACAGACAGGGAAGCTGATGGTGCAGACAGGGGAGCTGATGGTGCAGACAGGGGAGCTGATGGCGCAGACAGGGAAGCTGATGGTGCAGACAGGGAAGCTGATGGTGCAGACAGGGAAGCAGGGGTGGCAACCACGGGTTCAGTCTGGGCATTCAAAGTGGATTTCAACTTTTCTGCCTCAGCCTTCGCTTTGCTTGGGCGGCCCCGTTTCTTTGGAATTAGAGGTGTAGTGGCATCAGCAGCAGGAGCAGCAGCAGCAATGGTGGTGTTAGGAGACTTTGCATCAGAATCTTTTTCGGATTTCTTTTTTTGAGAAGAGCTCTTGGATGGGGTCTTCTTTGCAGCCTGAGAGTTTCCTTCATCCTCAGGAGAGAGAGCTTGGTCATCTTTCTCCAGGACCTGCTGATCCAGCGCTACCATACTGGCTTGTGCTGCGATACCGGCTTGAGCCTTCGTGGCGGCAGCACGAGGGGTTCTCGGGACAGTTTCCTTTTTGGATCCCTTCTTGGCTACCACTTTCTCTACCTTGTCTGCTTTGTCTACTTTGTCAAGGCGGCCATTAAGCCATTGAATGGTACAAAAAAAAAAAAAAAAAAAAAAAAAAAAAAGTATGTGAGTAATATATATATAAAATTGCCCTCTTTTTCATTTCTTCTTTAGGAATGTGAACAAGATATTATGATGATCTAGGGTTCTATCTTTGGACCCATAATTGTTCTGATAGGATATGCTTACCTGTAGCATTAGCAGTAGCGTTATCTACCTTACCCTCTTGCCTCTGGCTCTCCTCCTCTTGCTCCTGGCTCTCCCCCTCTTGATCCTGGCTTTCTTTTTCTAGCTTTTTCTTAGTCACGGTTTCTTTTCGTTTCGGGGTCTTGGGCGGGGTTGTCGTCTTCTTTGGAGTCTTTTCGTCGACATCCAATTTTAAACTTTGAGTACCAGGGATCTTTTCCTTTTTTTTGCTGTCAATACTATCCATTGGGCTGGGCAATTCCGTTTCTTTCATAGATGTTATTGGTTGAGCGTCGTTAGCGTCGTTAGCGTCGCTAGTATCCTTAGCATTGTTGGCATCCTTAGCATTGCTGGCATCCTTAGCATTGCTGGCATCCTTAGCATTGCTGGCATCGTTGGCATCGTTGACATCTTTGGCACCTTTGGCATCTTTGGCACCTTTGGCATCTTTGGCACCTTTGGCTTCTTTGGCATCTTTGGTATCTTTGACATCCTTAGCACTTTTAGTATTCTTGATATCAGTTTTCCGTTTTTTTAGTGGAATCAGATGTGTACTGGTATCAGGTCCTGCAGAATTAACTGCAGCCTGTTGAGGCTGCGCTTGAGGCTGTGATGATTGTGGTTGCGGCTGTGTTAGTGTCTGTAGTTCTGGTTGCGGTTCTAGCTGTGGTTCCGGCTGTGGCTGTGATTGCGATTGAGGTTGTGGTTGTGATTGAAGCTGCACTTGAGGCTGTAATTGCTGATGCTGTGGTAGCTGTGGCTGCTGTGGCTGCTGCTGCTGCTTTGGCGATTGTGATTGGGGTTGAGGTTGCTGTTGCGGCTCCAGTTGTGGCTGCGGCTGCGGCTGTGGCTGCTGCTGCTGTTTTGATGATTGAAGCTCTGGTAGTTGATCCTGCTGCCCCGGTGATTGTGGTTGCGGTTGCGATTGTGGTTGTGGTTGTGGTTGCGGTTGCGGTTGTGGTTGTGATTGTGATTGCGATTGTGGTTGTGGTTGCGATTGTGGTTGCGGTTGTGGTTGTGGTTGCGGTTGGGGTTGAGGCTGTGGCTGCTGCTTCTTTGGGAATTGTGGTGGCATTGATTGGGGGCGTGAGAACATTTGATAGTGTTGCTGCCCTAAGAACTGTGCGTGTGGTTGCGGCTGTGTTTGAAATTGTGGGAACTGTTGATATTGGTGCTTTAGTGGTTGCTGTTGTTCTTGCTGCTGCTGTAGCTGTAGCTGTTCTCCATCTGATGATTCAGAGCAAACTGCAAAAAGCTGGTCCGATTGCTTAAAGATGTCGCAAACCACATAATTATCATCTAGTTCGAACCCATCTTTGTCGGTAAGCGCGTGTATTTTTAGGTTTCCCTTCCTAGAGGAGGAAAAAAATAAAAAATAGTAATAATAAAATCAAAGAAAATAAAATAGAACGTTAATTTGTTTATCAATCTTAACAGAAAACAAAAACGTCCATTGATCCGAGTGAGGAAGAGAAGAATAGACTTCTGATGTCCGTTATAATGAGGTGATTAAGACGCCACATACTCGAGAGGGTACTTTTGTGAAAACCGTTGATCGACAATAGAACGAAGCTCATAGATTGATGTTCCAGACGAAGCGAGAACTAAGAATTTCTTGATATATTCTTGGGCCCTCTCAGGAGGATCTAGGACGGTCACTTTGACCTGGAGCTGGTACTTTTGCTCCACCATGTCTTTTTATTTTTTTTTTTTTCTCTCTCTAATAAAAGAGTGATGCACTTGGGTTGAATTAGATTATATAATAACGTATAATACAGACAAGTAGGGAAACAACAGTAAGGATTTGATTGATCAGATGGATCGTCTTTCGCCCTTGTTTTGAAATGATGTGAACAAGTTTGAACCAACAAAAAACCATTTTTTTTTTTTTTTTTTGTGGAGTGTGGCTTATGATTTACGTAAAGCAAGGATACTTAGTTATTTCCAGATCCCTTTCTTTTCCAATAGAATATCAAAGCACTATTTCCACCTAAAGATATCTGGTAAAAAATACAAAAGCTGAAACCTTCAGAACAGATATCCATCGTTATACTTGTTAGGCCATAGTCTCCATAATGTGGCCAGTAAAGATCAGGAAGTGACAGGTTAAAAGCTATAATTGATGTCTTTCTTAGTAAAAGACCCCACACTGAGTGTATCATCCTCCGTCTGACAAATATAGAGCGGTCTTTCGTATCCTCCAACGTTTCTCTCAAGCATACATTGAATGAGCAGGACACAACCTACCGACACTAACAATATCCCTAATACACCTTTTCAGCAAATGCCAGGTTGTTGTCTTACAATTATGACAAGGGTTGCATTTAAAGAAGTGCTCCCTAGGATTATCAGATGAATAAGTGGGCGCAAATTCATTGCGGTCTACATAACAACGCGGCATCTATATACACGGGAGATACACCGCGGTTGTGGTGGTGTCAGGACATCATCCGTTCAGGACACTCCATTTCTACATTCATTATGTTGTATTTTAAAACTTTACTTTGATAGACGCTCTAGAGGAGAAGAGAAGAGGATTTCAGTGATTAAGCCCTGCTCGTAATCCTCATTAGTGAGATGAGCAAGAAGAGACTGAAGAGCTGAATCACTGATTACAATCTAAATGATGTTTAGCATTCAAATCAAGATCGAGACGGATATCATCTCTATTGGGTCTCTCGACAGAGCAGCGATTGATGTCCTAGCGGGAATTACAGCGGAGACGACCGATGAATAGTATGGCTAGTAAGAGCAGCTACCCAGGCCAGAGCTAAGGCAGCTTGAATAATATTCAGCGGTGTGAATAACCTTCTAAAGGATAGTGGAGTCGAGATCAAAGTATATATCGTATCGGTGCAAGCGATCTGTTCTCCATCTGGTGAGCATTTCAGGTCTCTGATACAAATGCAATGATCTGTAAGAGTATGCACGGCCAAAGAGAAAAAGTATCTTTGACTTGAGGATAGCTATCGATTGCTCGATGCGTCAAGCTCGGTGTGTCAAGTAGAGATACTTCACCATCCATGTATTTTTTCATATAAAAACCTAGCCCTTTTGCTCTTTTTCCTTCTCTCTTCTTCAAACACCTTACAACACTGTAAATAACTCCTTAAATCTCCACTATCCGTTCCACATCATGAAGTTCTCAATCACTGTTGCTCCTCGCATGGCCGTTGCCGCCTTGGTTATGCTCACTCCTAACGTAGTGTTTATGCTTGTGTGTGTTGTATTTGTACACTATTCGAGTATGCTAAACATTCGACTTGTTACCACCTCGTCTCGTCTGCCATCTGCCCCTCAACACATCCCTTTTTGGCCTTATAGCTGCCGCAAATGACGTAGAGAATAACAAAATCAGAATCACTCTCCATCCATGGAAAGCCGCAACCCCCACTCAACACTAGAGTCTAGCCTTATTATTAAAGAAGGTGGAGAAGCAAGAGCCTTACTAATAGAACAAAGTCAGCCTTAGAGATGATGCTAGCTAACTACAGAAATAACTCAAGTCCGCTGGTGATCAAAATGACGGATTTCTACGCTCGATACGAATGTTCATAATCCATGAACCTATGAGCTCGTTATTTTTGTATGTGCCAGTTGGGCAAAGCATATTAAGATAGGCATGGAAGACTGTACATGGAATTGCACAGTTTTGTTTGCTTCTGAATGAGTGCGAATAAAATAATGGCTTTGGTTTATGATTGTTTTTTTTTTTTCTTTTATAAAAAAAACTCTGTGCAAGAGAAATAATTCAACTTCACCTGCAATTTCATTCAGGCCTACTGTCTTTGTAGAAAACTGTTCAACAGCGATATAATGTCATGACCACTCAGTTGATAGTGTAATAGTTCCATCCTTTTCCACTAACGCTTGAAACCTCTCACCTTGGGTAGGATCCCTGCAAGGAACAGAAGTGCACAACAAGTCAAAGTTAGTTCAAACATTGATGGCTATTGCTCGAGCATACAAAAGCATACAAAAACTATGATTGTTACACTTACAATTTTGTGAAGGGAGAATCAGTCTCCCAATCATTGTTGCCTCGAGCGCTTAACAGCGCTAATGAGGAAACCCCTCGCAGTTCTCGCTACTGCCATACTGGGTTTGGGCTTTTCGGACCGCATTCGAGATGATATATGTGCGAGACACATCCCACCAATATTTCCGGCACCAATCGCATCACGATCAAATACACCACGCATCTGCGGTTGTATTTTAACCGTAGTAGAACTGATTCTATGGAGCTGGTGCGATTGGTGCGGTTGGTGGGGTGACAATGTACACTAGTGGGAAATCTATGAATACCACCTAACAAACTGGCCTAATACTATTCTCTGCTGGAGACAAAGATTCGAGCCTGCAATCAAACGATTTTCTAAATCTCGAATGTCAGCCATTTTTAGATCAATATGGAGATTCGTAACATACCTCTAGTGAAAAAGGAACCGGAAAGGAGGTAGAAAATAATAGAGACAGGCACTGATATTTTGCTTGTCTTTAGTCTGGATAGAACAAGGTCAAAGTTGGGGGATGTCCAGAGGAGCGAAGGTTATTTAAAGAAGGATGTAGTACATCGTGATGAGTATAGGCTTGATAAATGACTTTTGCTGGTTTTTTTTTCTGCTTAGTTTTGCTGGTTGAATTTTTTAGCCTTTTTTATTAGCTTCCAAAGCATGCAAATGGAGTAGGTCGGGGCACCGATATTGCTTCTACGCACCATAATTATGATCTGATATGGTCGATAAGATGTCAGTAGCCGGTTGTTTCCTGCTCGTAGAAAGCACGGAAAACTGGATCTGGCCTACCCATGAGTTGATGAAAGCTAAATGAGTAAATTTGTCCGTTTTACAGTCCAAGAAGTACACTAAATGATTAAGCCTAAAAGAAGTACCAACATCTTGGTCTGTGCGCCACTGGCGCATGTCCCTTACCTTTTTTTTATTTTTTTATTTTTTTTTTTGGAACGGACTTTTGTTTAGAAGAAACCCATCAACTATATTACATATCAGCACTGCCAATGAAATAAAAAAATGTGTGTACAGTGGAATCTCGATAATTGTACACTTTTGTAGGCTCGTTCCCAGCCCTCTCCGTAAGTAGGCTCGTTCCCATCCCTCTTCACTTTATAAAGGTGACAGGAAATAATCATTTCCTTTTTTTATCACCTATAGTGAGGCATTTTGGCTGGGAGCTCAAAAAGGAAAGGTTATATTTTTTTGTTAAGAATAGCAACTTAATTCAATAGGCGTCCACTTCACCTCAAACAATTTTGAACATCAAACGATTGCTGGTCTCATATCGAAATTTTTTGAGGGAGCGCTCAAAAAGGAAATGTAATAATTTTTAGAATATGTGATTTAATTCAGTCGGCAGGCCTCACGTTCGTGTATTTTTTTTTTTCATCTATTGATATGAGAGTCCTTCCGAATTAACTTTTTTCTAATGAAAGTTGGTAGTCAAACATGGCAATCAGTGATATTATATAATGTATATTTGTTGCACACTCAGTTCAGTCTACATAGCTTTAATCTGTAATTAGTAGATGTGATAGCAGCCGGTCAGAAGCATAGCCATTTTAGATGGCCTGATGGCAAAGTAAAAATAAAAGTATCCTCCAAAAATGCTTTCAATTGTTGCGTCCTGAGGTTGCTTGAGGCGCCCTGAGGTACTTCATAATACCGCAATATTTAATAGCGGCTCAATATTAGATCCTATCATGAAACAATTGTGCATATTTCACAGTACGCGTAGCCTCATGGCAAAGGTATACGACTAGCCTAGGAAAGCTGCTAATAAAAAGCTAGATAAAAAAACACCGAAAAGCAATAATGCCCTAGTCTCTCAAGCACTCACGCGCCTCAGGATCATACAATATAAATGCCATAGACACCTAGTGAACTCTCAGTCTGCAATAAAACTGCTCTATTCTCGTACTCCTTGCTACGCACCAAGGTAAACTTACGGATATTTGATGAACAAAAAAAAGGTATAAATGCCTCATGGGAATGGTGTGTGGATCCACATCTCACCTCATCAAACTCCTCAGCAATAATACACACTCTATTCTCCTTGAACCCGCTTTCACCATCAAACATTTTATCCACAATAAAAGCATTCAAACACTTCCCACGATCTCTATCTGAACATCTTTTTCAATGTCCCATCAAAACCAAATGGCTCACTTCCAAGCTTACCAGCCTATCTATGCTGACTCTGAAGGCATTGTTCTTGGGCTACTAAATACAGTATTCAGACAAGGCCAACAAGGCTATATCGCTTGTAGATTTCTTGCTAGTGCTTCTAACGAGTGAGAACACTGAGATAAAGAGACGAACAGGACTACTCCTTTTATCCAGGAAAATCCCTACCATTGTGTCGTTAATCTTCCAAAAGTGCAAGAATAAAAGAGGATTGTTGCTGCGAACAGAAGAATATTTTCATCGGGAAATAGTCGGCGAACTCGACACTCTGAGCACATCGAAAGAGTTGCAGACTAGCCCAACACACACCCACTTGAATATATTTGACAACTTTTCCCTGAATCTATATTCTGAGTTGATGGTTCAACGCTCACCAATGCTGTCAAGGCTCCTACGCTCAGTACTGGATGGAAAAGCTTTGGCCATTTCAATGATTGGCAGCATTATGACGAGATACACCAGTTCCCACTGCAATCTGTATCAAAAGGTTATGGGGACATACCTCTTCAGCAACGGAGCCAGTCGTAAGACGATGGAAGCTTTATCTCACGCCGGACTTTCAGTGTCATACTCTACTGTCATGAGGATATTGCGACAACTAACTGTAAACGCATTGGCCGATGTCCGAGCTGTAGCCGCAAACAAAAGCTGGTACATTGTGTATGATAATTTGAACTTTCGCCGAGTTAAGCATGACCAGAGGTTAGACAACAGGGACTATTTTGTAAGCGGCACCACAGCCACCCTTATCCAGTGTGATCCTACTAATGGCGCGTTCAACCAAGGCTCATATGAACGGCTCTGCTTTAAGGACTTGATTATCAGTCGAGATAATGATGCCCACTTTCAGGAGGTAGCTACTTATCATCTCATCAATGTGCTTAAGAGGCATTACGAGGCATTCAAGAGTCTCCAAAACGATGCTCCAGTCAAGAACTTACTTCCGGCCAAAAAATCCGAGACGTTTCCCTTGCCTTCGATGGATATCAATGAGTCAACTACGGAGGGTAACAAGGATGTTATTAACACAGTCATCAACAACACCCTCCAACTTCCAAGAGAATGGTTCAACAGCAAAAGACATATAGTGGTCGCAGGAGATCAACTCACAATCAAAAACATTCGATCTCTGTTGAAGTATCGTCGGGACCACTAAACACATTATAGCCGGTTAGAGTGGGTGATTCAATTGTTCCACTTACAAATGGTATTTGCTGCTACCATTCTACGTACATATTATGGGTCAATCACAACACCTGGATCACTTGCACATTTCACGGAAAAGTTACATCGAAAGAGGATGAGCTTGGAAAGCTGGATTTCCATGCTGTCAACGAACTGATTCACCAAGTGTTCGAAGCTGTAGCATGGAGAGCATGGAGAGTGGTGATGAAGAGCAGCCGTGGAGAGTCATCAGCGGAATATGCTAGCAGGAAGGCAAACGAGATTTTTGAAAAATTTGTATGTGGAACTAACTCCTTCCTTAACGATAATAATAAGGTGTCATTTAATGGATCGCTGCTCTTCCGAGACATGATGCTTTATGTCGAATTATCCCATGCTATCAGGTCTGGCGACATTGGTCGAATCGAAGAGGTCATAAAGTGGCTGACTATAATGTTTCAAGCAGGCTGTACCAAAAACTACGCACATGAGCTTATCCATCTCCAATGTGGCCTCCAGTATGCATGGCCTAAAGAAACCATTCAAACGAACCTCAATTCTAATGGAAACAGAGTACAAAGTCGCCCGAAACCGAACATACCACAAGTCCGTCAAATTCATTGATGATGTGACGAGCGTTTTGGAGACACTAGAGGATATTAAACTATTCTCCAAGGAATCAAAGCCCACAGTTGAAGCCAAAACGAAGCGCTGCACAGACCTTTTCAATGATGGCGTTGCAGTACTTTCCGAGGGGAAACGTTTAGAGGCCATAAAGCAGAAAAACAGGGAGCCTTGATCACAATACCGAAAACTCACTGGATCCGTTTTCTCTTGAAGTTGATTTGACAGACGTAAACACCGACGAAATTGATCTCTTGACAGACCTTGCTGGGAATGAAGTCGGAGATTATCCGATTTTTTGGGAAGATACCTTTGCAGAATAATACCTTTGTATATAGTATAATTAAATAAATATATATTTTTGGGTGCAGAAGTTCACTTCTATCGAGTATAGTTAATTGGTGTCTATAGCTCCTTCCATTCACATGTTCATTATATTTATGTGGATATATTTTGCTATTGATAATTTATGTGTTTGTTACTTGGTATTACTGATTATATTCTTCTTCTCTTATACAGCCTGCTTTCGTTCCTCGCCTTGCTTACAAGTCCTAAAAGGTGATCAAAGATGTTTTTGATGCCCAACCATGACTCTTCCCACTTAATATTCTTCATAACGGTATGATTAAGAGGCGATAGATGAAAAGATGGTGACGCTGATGACGGTTTTTGTAAACATTCTACAAAATGCCACTCACTCCCATCTGTTACGATTCCATACGTTGTAATGTCTTGTCCTTGGTCTGAATCTTTACTGCGCATACGTTTTCGGCCTGTGGTTTGCGATTCGAGTTGCATCATATTTTCTGCGACAGCCGCCTTGAAATCCTTATTTTGTACTTTCGTCACGCACAAAGAACAAAAAGCTTCATCATTCTTGGATTTAATACCGTACCACACCTTTCCTCGGCCAAGTCTTCCTCTAATTTCCTCTTCCGAACTGAGCTTTAAATCATCCGTGAATAATGTGACAGCATGGACAAGCATAGGTTCAACAATCTTCAACATTCCTTCATCACTATCAAGCAAGGAGCACCTCTTCCTTGATTCGATTTCGTCTTGTAGTCGTTTAATCGCGTGGTCGTGCTCAGCCGTGCCTCCAGTATTGATGGGGATCCCTTCAAGTGGTTGTATTTCAGTCAAACTTGGGTCTGACGCGTCGGTAAATCCAAAGAAGCTGTTAACATCCTTCAGTGTGTAGTCAGAAAACGGTTTATCAGGGTAGCTGATCTCAACTAGAATATTCTGTGCTGAATTATAAATGACCTTTAAGGCTTGCTGAAGCAATTGATCTGTTGGGTTTTCTACTTCGAGAAGTTGACCGCCACAATCCTTATATTTGATGGTAATAATTTCTGAACCAAAGAGAAGATCAGGAAAGTTGCCTCTAATTTTCTCCTTTAACCTTTCCATGGTTGCTTTGTCCATGTCTATAGTTGAGACAAACTTCTTGTTATTAAATGACTCAAGGACAATATTGAATCTCCCGATACTTGAGCATACTAAATTAATAAAATTATGATGAGTAACCGGCCAATGTTTAAATGATTTCCACCATGACTATCAATACTCAACACTAACCTTTCTTCGGCGGCTGGACGAGAACACGAATCGTTTCTCTTGCTGCTTCTTTTCCAAACGCTTCAGAAAGTGTTGATGTAGGTAAAAGCCTCTTCTTGCTTGGGACATTATCGAGAACGTTTGGAGTATCATCAGCATCTTGGGCGATTGGTATCGAGACTTGCCAGAGGGCAAGCGTGTTAGCAGCAACATTGTCAAATTCAGGTGTTTTCTTTTTCTTGAGCTCATCCTTGAGAGCATTCACTGTGAGGTTTGAAGGGAGCTCAATGGAAAAGGCGTTGTAAAGGCTTTCGCCTTCCTTGACACAATACAGTGTTAACTGAGTAGCCATAATGGAATGAAAAGGTGAGAAGGAGGAAGATAAAGAGTTGAATTCTGCATGTTTGGCCTACTGCATTACAAATTGTTGGGTGTCGCTCGCAATGGATTACAAGTCGATGTGGTTTTTGTGACCCGAGCTTTGGCGTCAAAAAAAAAAAAAATGTGGCTTTTGAAAAACGTTCTAGAATTTCTAGGTTGATGGACATGGCTCCCTTCTCTTCTCATATTATCTCTTATATCTCTCTTATATTAAAATATTACAAAAAATTATGTGACAGCCAAAAAAGGTGACTTTAAAAAGACGAAGTGACTGGTGGGATACGATGAAACAAAAATAAACAAAAGAGAAACAAAAATAAACGATGAAACAAAAAAAAAAAAAAAAAAAAAAAAGCATGTATCATGAAGCGAACCTAAATTTTTTAATTTGATTTTTTTGAAATGGTTGCCACACGCTCCGCACGCTCCACAAACTCTACACGTTCTACACGTTCTACACGTTCCACAGCTTTACCAAATCCATCGGGTGTACAACATATTATCCAAGCACGACGAGCTCAGCGGGCTGTGCAACGTATCAAAGAACGACCCGTAGACGCTGAAGAGGAACTAATACAAAGCCAACAGGCAGTAAAGGATACTGAAGAAGGGTTGTATGATGAGTTCTACAGCTCCATCGACGAATACGCCCTGCTTGCTTTGCTCGAACAAGAGGAGAAAGAAGAGAAAAAGAGTGAGAGTGAAGAGGAAAGAAAACTTGAAGAAAGAAAGGCAAGAAAAACTGGGATTGCAGCTGAGATTAGCTGCAGGGAATGCTTGAACATCGGCTGCTCTTCTCAATATAAGTGTATTTGTCCTTCTCTGGAGCAGCCAGCCCCCGCAACTCCTCCGCCACCAGTTTATCAATCACAATCTTCAGAGAAGATGAATGAAGCGTATGTGCACTATGAAGCTGCACCCATCAATTGCCCCAGATGTTTTGCGGAGCTGTTGTTTGATGTAGAGCCTCTGAATATAAAGCTATGGAGGGCGGAAAAAATAAATGATCGTCAATAAACGTCGCCAGAGCTCTGTTTTCTGTAGGAGAATCCAGTGCTCCTATTCGAACTGAAATTTTGTCAATTATGATGTTTCAGTTTAAAAAAATAAATATCAAATGACAAAATTTCAGTTCGAATAGGAGCACTGGGAGAATCCATAAAGACTGGTCAAAATGAAAATCATTCTCATTTTGACCAGTTTTTATTTCTGGCGGTGAAATAGAATAAAAGTGTCAAAACTTATCCATCGATAATGTGGTAGAGGATATAGTAGGTAGGCAGCGCTGCCAAAGGCCTTTTCTGTCTTTTTCACCCAACACAATTACAATATTGTCAATTTGAATTTTTCTCTCAGCACCTAGATTTCATAAAGACATGGTCCGCACCTGTAGTCTGTGCAACAGTGAAAAGCATGATAGGCGGCTCTGCCCTCAAAAAACAGAGCGTGTTGAGCTTCGCACAAACCTTCCCTCCGCTTCACGCCTGGAGCAGGTTATTGGTCCCACGAGAGGGTAAAGAAGTGATTATTTTATTTTGTTATTTATTTAGCCCTCTATTATTTTATTCTCATCATATATATATAAGGGCAAATATTGTTAGCCAGCCCCAAAGGTCGCATATGTGTAGCACTTGCAATCGCCCAGGACATAATCGAAGTACATGTCCGAGTGCTGAAAGGTGGGTTCTACGTACTTTAAATATTTCATATAATCATACTCTTCCTCGCCATCGATTTGACTTTATAACGGATTATTACTGTCCATTAATCCATTGATTTAGCAGCCATATCCAAAATGAAGCCAATCATGGAGCAGTGCGCGAGCGAAGCTTTGATCATGACCTTGATATCGAAAATGAGAGACCCACACAAGGGCGAAGGTGAGCTACATTTTGTTCACTCTTTATTTCCTTTTTTTTTATTTTTTTATTTTTTATTTTTTATTTTTTATTTTTTTATTTTTTAATTTTTTAATTTTTTTATTTTTTTTAATTTTTTCGTACTATATCATATTATATGCATTTTATGTGACATCAGTCTTCAGAATACAACCTACCTGCCAACCCCCCGTAGCTCGAGTATGTAGTAGATGCAATCAGCAAGGACATAACCGAAACACATGTCCTGTTATAAAGTAAGTCCTCTTTTTTTTTTTTTTTTTTTTTTTTTTAAAAAATCGGGGCTCTATCTAAATACAATAGTGATGAAGATGACATCCTTCCTCTCGGTAGAAGGAGATTCCGGGAAGATTTGGTCTCAGGCCCTAATATCGAGCGCCATAGGCATCGCTTAGAACCGATGACCCAGTGCCCTTATTGCGATGCCTTCATGTTTATCGAAGAACGCATCCAAGGCAGCAGCAGACAACGACCAGAATTTTCCTTATGTTGTGGAAGAGGTCAAATAAAAATCCCTCATCTAGGGCCTATCCCACGCTTGGTAGAGCTTTTTGGAGAGCAAAATGCGGAAAGCAGAGCATTCCGCAGCCATGCACGGCAATACAACTGTGCTCTTTCCTTTACATCAATGAAGGTGAACCATGATAGGAGCCTTGCAAACGGCCAACAAGGCGTGTACACCTTCCGTATCATCGGCGGCATTGCTCACTTGATTGGTCCTATGAATCCGCCCGAAGGCATAGATCCCCAGTTTTTGCAAACCCACAGCCACATTCATGACCCCCAAGAGCAGGCCAGAGTCCGCAACGGCTATTTCGAAGACTCTCTTGATAATTACTTGCTTATAGAACTACAGCAACTTCTTGAACAGCATCACCCAATGGCCCGCCAGCTCAGGAATATTAAGGAGCGCGCGAACGGCCAAGATACTCAAATGAGGATCGTCATCCGTGCTAAACGCAATCAAAGGGGCCAAAACCAAAGACAATATGATCCTTCGTCCTCTGAAATCGCTGTTTTGATGCCTGGCGATGGTAGCGAAGTCAGAGAAAGGGATATCATTATTGAGTACAGGGGAGGTGGTTTACAGAGGATTGATGAAACCCATCAATCTTACGATAGCCTTCATTACGTACTCTTGCATCCGAACGGAGAGGATGGATGGACATACGGCACATATAGGAAGACGACTAGGCCAGAATCAGCCTTTGCAGGGTCCCCTGAAGGCAGCGACGACGAAAGGACTGAGGATGAACAGATAGATATCAACGAGGTTCGGACAAGGAAAAGACGAGATTTCGTCAGTCAGAGGGAGTTTTACGCGTACAGACTGCAGAATCGTCCAATGAGCCCAACAGACCGACGGTCCTATATTTGGCTCCTTCCACGCTTGGCACACCAATATATTGTTGACCAATATTACAAGTTGGAGACATCTCGGCTTCTTTATATCAGTTTGAACCAATCTAAACTGAAAGCAGATGCATACCTAGGTGTAGTAGATGCGATTGAGTTGAATCTCAGACCAGAGAATATTGGGAAGCGAATCACCCTACCATCTTCCTATGTCGGAGGCCCTAGGTTTATGCAGCAGCTGTTCCAGGATGCCATTGCCATGGTCCGCAAGTTTGGTAAACCCGACCTCTTTATCACCTTTACATGTAATCCTCAATGGCCAGAGATTCAGGAGGCCCTTTATGAAGGCCAAACAGCAGCTGACCGGCCGGACCTTTGTGTGCGTGTGTTCAACCTCAAGAAGAAGGCTCTAGAGCACGATCTTTTCAAAAAAGATACCCTAGGGAAGGTTATCGCCTACAATTGGGTCGTTGAGTTCCAGAAACGTGGTCTGCCGCACCAGCACCTCCTCATAATCCTTGATGACAGGGACAAGCCTCGAACAACAGACCATTTTGACTCTTTTGTGTCTGCAGAAATTCCTGATCGAAATAGCGCCCCACTAGCGTACGAGACAGTGACATCCCACATGATACATGGGCCATGTGGAGTTCATAATCCTCGAGCACCATGCATGGTCGAAGGGAAATTGCAAGCGAAATCACTATAATAATTTTGTGCAACATAGTATTTCGCCCATATTTCTAGAGCATTGTCTACGGTACCATGTCCGTATATGTGTGTCACCTTTCTTCATTGAAAATCCGACGAGAAATAAAGAAAAATAAACTAAATAAAAAGATCCCTCTGCCCTGCAACTCTGATCTACATCTTTCTTCTCGTCGCTCCTGGAACTCATCCGTTGCAGACTATTATCTATTCGTTCCAATGAGCGACAATTCTACCGACAACACTCATAATGCACTCCTTCATGAAATCAACACTCTTCGTCAGCAGGTGGCTGCCCTTACGCAGGCCAACCCTTCCTCCTCTTCCCCTTCCCCCATCACCATTGATCGCCCACAGGCCAAGATACTTGTCCTCTCTGATACCCTCAAAGCGGCTGTACCTTCCCTTGACGGCTCTCATTTCTTCCGTCCCCCGGACAACTCTGGCGACGATAACATCCTCACCGAGTACGTCCTCTATCCCAAGAACCCAGATCAGCAGTACAAAGCGCCCTCTCTTGAGTTGCCTTGGCCTCAGGAGACCACTTCTTTTCAACGAGTGGACAAGTGGTTATCCCAACTACAGGAACGTCAGGCCCACGCTACGCGACCCTTGGACGAATTCCTGGCAGAATACTTTCACAAAGTGCACGATCCTGCATTACGGCAGATCGTCGCAGATTTTGGGCATGTCATGCGATCTCATCTGGCCGTTACAGCACGCCAAATCACCGATCTGCGCATGGATAATTTTGTGTACGCAAAGGGTCTCAAGCCAGCCCCTGATCATGAAAAGACTGCAACTATCACTAAAGATGATATTGCAGCCCGAATTAAAGCTGCTGAGGAGTACCAGGAGGCCAGCAAGCCTCGCAAGACAGCTTTGCAAAACAGAGGATCCGGTCGCAATTCCGGTTCTCGCAGCAGGGGTATTTACTTTAACATGTACCCCCACCAGCAGCAACAGTTCCAGCAATTTCCATCACAATCGCAACCTTATTCACCAGCGAATCATCATCAAGCACAACAAGCCACACCTCCTCAGCTCACTTACGGGTATGGAGAGCCCATGCATAACAACCAGCAGGGACAGTATTTTTACAGAGGCAGCCGTGGAC